AAACAAAATATTTGGTGAGGTAATAATGAATGCTGTAATAATATGTTATAAATATATTGTGTGAAAGTTAGGATTTTTGTGTTATTTATCATAGCATCTACCTCACATTTTTTTTAGTTCAAGTTCATAACCTGGACAAAGGATTGGTACCTCAGCTTGTTGTAAATAAAAACTTGATTATTTGTTATTCATACATTTTTGTGTCTATCTTCATAGCTTATTTATCTGCCAAATTCTGAATTGTAGCTTATTGCTATTTGTTTTAAGTAAACACCTTTGTGCCAGAGAAATTAAGTATGCTTAATATTAGTTATTTTCTTTTTCAGTTTCCAAATTTACTTTTTTACGGTCCACCAGGCACAGGGAAAACATCAACAATATTAGCTCTAGGAAGGCAAATGTTTGGGTAAGAAAATATCCAAAGAAACAGTTTTTATTTTAAGATTATTATTATCATTAATTAACTCCAAGAGCCAAATGTTTGTTTATTGCATATCTAAATTAAACATTTCTAATATTGAAAATTAGAGTAACTTAGTATAGATACAAAATGTGTGTACATATTAACTAAGAATGGATTTATGAAATTACATTAAGGTCTTAAGCATCCTCAAAAATTTTCAAATCTATTAATTTATGTGATGCAAGTTCCCATCATAGGTTTCTTTGGTGGTGTTAATTTTTTATTAGAATTGTTTTGTGATGTTAAAGAAAGATGTATGTTTCAAGGAAAAGTGATTACTGGAGGTATGTAACAAGTGTAGTGTACATTTTTTGGGTTTGATGCTTTATTGCAGTTCTTTCTCAGGTTAGAATTGCTTTACTTACAACTGATAAGAAGTCCAATTCTCATGGTTAGTAGCCTGTATCATCACCTAAGTCTGAATATTGATTAGTTACTAATTGATAATTAGACTTGCATGATGGTATATTGTACTAACTATGACAATGATTGAGATCTAGTCACTAAAACCTTACAGTAAGTACTTAAGATGTCCATTTAATTTTTTGTTCAATGGCAGTGTAGTAAATCTGTGTTTTAAACCATACATCTTTCTCTTTTTTTGTGTTATTCATTTACAACAGCCATAGAATTAACTTGGCTTTATGCCAACACCTGTAAATGTAATTGAGCTTGCAAGTACAGTACTATATGTAACATGTTTTAGTGCTAAGAAGTTAATTTGTGTAGATCCTGCCTTTTGTTTCTGTGATAATGAAGTGTAAGAATTGTAATTTAGAAAATCATAAGGTAATTCTTTCAGTATTTCAAATAATGTAATTTATTATGCCAGCAAAGGAGAGCAAATATTTACTTTATGAGTATTTCTGAAAGCTGTTAAAATACATGGCACCATTAACATTTCAGTTATTCATATACATCAATATGAGAACAATGAAATATGCAATGATTGTTTTTTTCCAGCACAGAACTGTCTAACCTGAAAAATCTAGAAAAAGACAAAGTGTTGAATCATTTCTGGAAGCTTCAAAGTTTATATTGATATGTTCAATAGTTTTGTATAAGTTTATAGATTGTCTTAACTCTTTCACTGCTCTGGGCACATATTTCCCACCTCCAGAGCACTTGCTATGAACACACACGTATGGGAAAACATTATATAACCTTTGTTTAGCTTGAGAAGTGATTTATTTATCAAGTGTGAGTTTTGAATTTGTTTACCTCCTTGAAGAAACAATGTCAGGTTTCTCAATGTTTATCAGTTTCAGATTATTAATGAAAAAAATAAAATGTTTTCTTTGCTTTTTATTGTGTATTTAAAAATAAATCTGGCACTGGGAGAGTTGTTTATTTATAAATGTGGTAGTGAAAGAGTTCAATACACTAATCATAAATCTGGCTTACTGCTTTTATACTGTAGAGTGTATGGCACTTGCAAAAGTGTTTATTAAAATTAGTTTGAATGTGTAGTACTATGTGAACTAATTCACACATTTTAAATTTAAGCAATCAATTTTCCTTGATGTTTGCAACTGAACAAATTTTTGTTTGGTTTAACATTTTAAGCTAATATATTCAATACATGTGTTACATTAGTTTGTTCATAAGTACCACATAGTAGGTATTAAGACATAATTATCAAATATCCTTACACCCTCAACACTTCTGTTTAACTGCATTTCAGAGTATTTCTAGGGTGAACTAAAATATTAAAAAAATTATAGAGTTCAAATGCCAATCCTGTGTTCTTTTTCAGAAGTTCCAAACAAGAAAAATGGTGGTCATTTGTTCTTAAAGCCTGATAATACTTTGCTTCTATTTTTCATAAATTATCTTAGATTTAACAATCCATGCTGAATATATTGTGTGATTACTCAACTGTAGTTACTACTGGCACGCTTCTGTAATGTTTGTAGCTTATATTAATGAAAAACTATTTATGTAAAAAAAGATTTTCAAAGTTATTTACTTCCTAATATATTCCATTTTTATAAGTTTTTACAAAAAAGTTTCACCTTTATTCCACATTTGAAGAGTAAATTTGTTATGAAACTTTGCTAGCATCTCCTCCACTTTTTTAGCTCTATTTTTTTTTTTCATCTCATAACATTCTTGAATTTCCAGTTTTATGATTCAGTGATTGGTTTATCTTATGAATATACAGAGTATTAATTTCACTTTATTAGAACGTTTTCTATATGATAATATAGTGGGGTGTCGATGCAGGTGCAACATATTTATTATTTGTATATTTGTTTTATAGCCAATTTCTGACTATTTGACATTGCAGTGCCATCATGGATAAACATATGGCTAGAAGAATTTGCATAGTCCTTTCCATAGAAGGACATTTGTGAAGTGAGATTATTAAGTAAATGTACAACCAGAAAGGCACATTTCAAGAAATAGGGGCCTTTATTGTTTTTGATGGAAGTGTAAGTATTCTCATAGCATTGTGTTTAGGGCAAAATCATCTTCTGACACCACATACCAACTTGGAGCAACCCCTCATTCACAAAGTGAAGACTAGTTATGAAAGAGAACCTTCTGACTCGTAAAAGCCATTATGGTGAATCTGGGCATATATGATGGTATCATTAATAAGATAACAAAGTTGAAGAAGGCTCACAAACCAAAAATTCATAAGTTTATTGTCACACCATTATATCTTTGTTTGTTTTCATAAGAAAGACAGTTGAAGAAACTGAAATCATAGTACTTCAAGTTGACCATGTAGGTGTTAAATTCCTCAATGCTTCTCTAATGGACTTTAGTGCATCTTATCTGCTTAAAAATGGTCTTGAAAACATTGAGCTATATACAAGAAAGATTGGAAAAACTGGTAAGATATATGGTTTGAGGTTGAACTTGCTGTACTTTGCAGAAGCTTGTTATGATGGAATCTGTAGTTTTGGGAGTAGTGCACAACCATGGCCATGAGAATGAACACTATCACTGATATAAGATATAGCTCTAAAGACAGGATTGGACCTGGAACATTGTTCTTATAAAGTGTGATTAATCGTCTAAATTATTTGAGCATAAGTTTAGTAAAATCCCTCATCTTTGAAATACATTTCATTGTTCTCTCATATATTGCACTTGTTGTTCATTTAATAATATCTGAGTTCAGGTTTGAGCCGGTGTTTAATGGGGAAAAATCATGTTAATTGTTGTGAGATCACAGTATTTAGTGAGTGCAACATACAAATATTGTTGTAGGGAAGTAACTATAGTAGAAATTCCAGTAATTTGCATAGCTTTGGCTATGCTGTTATAAAAAGAATTTTGGAACTTAATATGATAGATAAGATTTAATGAAATAAGAAAGTAATTTTTTATTTTGAATTTTATACTTGAATATGGTTTATTTTCTTGCTTTATAATATTTAGTTACAGTGCCTTGCAAAAGTCTTCACCATCCTGTGCTGGTAATCAATTTTAGTTATTTTCTAGGTTCGAGATAATAAATGCTGAATTATTTGTTTTTCTTTCATTAAAAAGTTAACATTCAGAGCTTTATAGAATTTACTTTAACAGGGAAATGTATCGAAGTCGAATTCTGGAACTTAATGCTTCTGATGAAAGAGGAATTCAAGTTATTCGAGAAAAAGTTAAAAACTTTGCCCAACAGACTGCAAGTAATCGGACACCAGAGTGAGATGTTTGAATTACATTTTTTGTTTAACTTGCATGTTATGGGGATTATAGTTTACCCATGCATAAAGATTTACATATAAATAGTAATGTAACTTCTGATTAATTTTTAATTTTGATCTATGTTGGTAGGTTCTTTGATCCAAATTGAATAAATAAACAATAACTTTTTTATAAACTGTTCTTTATTCTAATTGAAATAGTTTCAAATAAAAATTATGGGTAATTAATTTATTTAAATTAGATTTTTAAAAGAATAAAGAAATGTAAATTATCAAATTACATCTAATTTTTGTTATTTGAAGAGTTTATATTTACTATGAGTTTTAGCTTGCCATTTTGAAGAATTCATTTATATGTAATAAAAACTGAATAATAATTGATTATGTAAATACAATTGAAAAAAAAAAATCTATATGAATGATAGAATTTTAATGATAACCCTAGCCAAGTATCCATCTGTCTGCTATTTATTATAGGTTTTAGATGTGTTGAGCTGTAATGTGATTTAAACTATGGAAAAAAAAGAAGATTAATCCACTTAGTAAAAAAAAAAAAAAACTAGTGTTTGGAATTATAGTTTGTTCCTGGTGATTTTAGAGTTGATTAATAACACAAACATACTACAATTCTGCACATTTTTGTACATTATATCATGAATGTTGTACATACCTACTGAGAAACATGATAATTTCATGGGAATCTTTGTTCTATATAATTTTAGCTACTGTAATGTAGGAACAAAATATGGTATTTAAGTTTCACAGAAACAAGTACAACCAAAAATTTCTGGAAATAATACTACCAGTTAAGATAAATTACTAGTAAACAATATTTTATAATATTAATTACATAAGAATAGCCCTTATTCACAAAATAATGTATAATCTTCTGTCAGGCATATGTCTGTATAAAGTTCAGCTATGATTACTCATTGTGATATAACTCATTGGTGAATAATAAAATTTTTGAGTAGGAGTAGTTACTTTTATGCTGGAAAGTGGTTCTGCTCACTACGTCAGTCTGATGAAATTAAGAAACTGTATATTTACACATAAATAATAAGTTCAGTGATAACTGTTGTTAATGCTGACATTCTATAATGCATTTGATGTAGTTTTACTGCTGTTATAGAAATCATGCAAGTTTACTTTTGCAGAAAAATATATGTGATTTAATTATTTTACACTACTGGATTTATAACAAAATCAAGTTAATCACCTGCTGTATTGTTGATAATATGTGGGCTTATGAGTGGTGAACCATATTTTTTGCTAGAGGAAAACCTTGCCCTGCTTTCAAAATTATCATACTGGATGAAGCAGATTCAATGACAAAAGCAGCTCAGGTAAACTGAATTTTTTTTTTATGTTTCTCATCAGATTTATGAGGTGGAAACCATAGGCTAATGATGAAATCGACCATAGGTGTGACAAAAATGCTTACTGAATGACTTGGAATACAATAATTCCATTTTCAACAAATTCCTACAGTAAATGCAAAACAGTAATTACATATAACAGCATGAAGATTGACTGGAAATGTTTACATAATATTTAGTACCACAGTGTTAGAATATTTAAAAAATATATACTTTTTTTTTTCTCTATTATTTAGAATTTAAATTTTCATTACAATGATTATTCTGCATTGTTAGCTTAGTACATGGGTTTTAGGACTAACCTAAGTCTCTTGAGCTAGCCAAATTTTGGGAGATATTATTGGGTTTATGGTTGAAGTATCATTAACAGTAAGAGTACGCATCTGATGAAAATGTATTCTAATCATTATAAATAATATAGTTTGAGCATTATATCCAATTAACTGTACTTGTTACTTAGTATATATTTTTAGTTCTGATCTATGTAGATTGCTTGCTTTCATCAAAAATTAATATTAAATAAAACAAAATAAAAGTCATTTTTAAGTGTCCTTGGGTGTAAGAGGTCATAGTGAAAGTAGATAAAAAAAAAAACACTTCAGTCAGTTATCATTCTCTTTCAAATATCTTGGTATTTTCCATAAACTATTTCTAGATAAGTGCTTATGACTGTTTCCACAAGTGCCCCATTGTTTGTGTGACTTGCTCGTTTAATAGGGGTTGGAGATAATTGAAATTCTTTATTTTGGAAGCTTTATTTATCAGAGTCATAAAACAAGGTATTTAAAAAAATAAAGCTGAAAACTGAAAGGTTAAGCAGTTTGAAAGAATCTTGCTTTCTTCTTTGTCAATAGAATTTATGTTATAACTTTAAAATATAAATAATTTTAGTTTAACTTAGTGTAGCATGGTTAAATATTTTTTTATTTCTTATGTAAATTATAGGATTTTTGTACACTTTTAACATGAATTTACTTATTTTACTGCTTAAAAATATCCTCTTTAGGATGCCCTAAGAAGAACAATGGAAAGGCAGTCCAAGTCTACAAGATTCTGCCTCATTTGTAATTATGTCAGTAGGTAAGAAAATTAAACAACTTTGCTTTCTCAAATTAGATGTGAAAATCCTAATATTCTAAAAGTTATTTCCACATCAATTGAGTATGAAGACAGTTAATGTTTACTGGTTGTACTACTATGTTTTCATTTGCGGAGGGAGGGTGGGATTATAATACATGAAATGTAAAGGAATCTATAAAAATAAAAGGATGTGTTACGAAGTTAGAATAATAACCATACTTCTCATAAAACATTAGTGTTAAGTATATTATATTTTTTAACACTACGTTCTTTATCTAGTTCGTTGCTGATAACATGTTTCATTCAATCCAGTGCTGTTCAGGCAAGCTGGGATACACTATTGGAACACTATTTATATAAGTCATATTGTGGTTGGAATACTTTTATTATACACTGTTCTATTTCTTGAAAGTCTCTAAGGGACTAGATAAAACATGTAGTGTTAAAAAGGATAATAGGCCTAACACTGATGTCTTATGACAAGTATAATTAATTATATTCATGTTTCATCAGCTTGTAAAAGGTGTTCTTACCATAACAGAAGGTTACAATATTGTGTATTAAATGTGTTTGCTATTTCAGGTGATGGATAGCTGTGTTATATTTCAATCCTTAAGGATTTTTGACTTTGGACTGATTTGTCTTAATTATTTTTATATTGAATGTAAAATAAGTATTAATTGTTGGTGCACATCTTTACAATTTTTATTTTGATGATATGTCTTAGATCATTTATATCATTTATATTTTTAGAACATGCAACACTTATATTTACAACTACATAAATATCATCATAGAGTAATATAAAAATATGAGAACTTGCAATTTGTGTGACAATTGACTGAACAGATTTCTTGAAAAAGTGTAAAAATTCAAACTGCAGTTAAACAGTTTCTAGTGTCCTATGATAAGTGTAATGAAAAGCAGTTGAGTTTTTCAGCAATATATTGAGTTTTTTTCTTTTACAGCTAGTTTTTGTAACACATAATAAGTATTATTAATTTCTTAAAATGCTATTGTTAAACACTAAAAGTAAAATCTCCATTAAATGTACAAATTTATGCCAGTACTTGAACATTCTTTAAAATTATCATTCAAATAAACTATTACTTTGGATTTGAAATTTGCTTTAGAATTATGTTTCTTATTACAGGTATGTTGAACAGGTTTTTATTACTGAAATGTTATATTTAAAAATAATGTTTTAACAAATATCTTATATTTTCAAGATTAGCAACATATGGTACAGAAATTGCAAAAATAGAAATTCCATATTTAATTAAGCATTTTACAAGTGGGGTATTAAGAGCTGGCACTAAGAAACTGAAATTGATTTATTATGAGAATCCAGAATATCTTTTACTTCATCAAGCTGATGGTATGTATACAATAAATTGTATTGATTCTGAATCTCTTGCTTGAGTGTTTACACAAGAAGTTTCACATTTGAATATCATTAATTTACTAAACACTCAACAAGAAAAAATCAGGAAAAATAATTATAGATAATAAGTGAAACCTTGCTTGTATAAGAAATGTAAAAAATAAAAACACTAAGTGAAAACATCTTTGCTTTTGAGCGCATTTACTTACTATCTAATATTGAATACATTTCTACACCTTGAGCATTTCATTGAAATACTGTATAAAAAAAAACTATTAAAAATCAACATGTTAAGGACATTTAAGGAGATTAGTGTAATCAGTTTCTTCACTGTAACAGCAGTATGATGTCAATACCAATATAAGTTTCTGCAATATAGAAAGTGTTTTTTTCATTAGTTAATTTAAATTTTAAATATTTTGGTGAATAACAAATTAAATTGAGATGTTAAAGTCCTAAACTAGGTTTTTCTTTTTTGTTTGTTACAGGTACTTTTTTTTTGGATGTAAGTTAATTGTCCATGTTTTTTTTTATAACCATGTAGGCAAGAATATTAAGTTTGTTAGTTTGGTAAATTTAAGCATTTATTGGCATAGGCACAGTTTGTTTTATAAAATAATTTTGTTCAAATAAAAGAAAATTTAGAACAAGTTCTCCTCTTCTTTTAGGATAATTGGACCTTTAACATCTAGATGCTCCAAATTTAGGTTCAAACCATTATCTAAAGATATCCTTATTCAGAGGTTGCAAGATATAAGTGAAAAGGAGAGTGTAAAAGCTGAACCTGGCGTAAGTATACACATACTGCATTATGTACTGGGAGCTGGGCAGTTAGTATAATTTGCTAATTGGTTAATCATTGAGCTCATTAATTGATTATTTGCATACGAGACCTGGATAGTAGAAATAATTGAAAATAATAATAATTAGAAGTGCTGATTTTGATTAATTAGTTATTTTTCCTGATGCTAATCAATGCAGTTGAGTTAATTGCCTGCTCTAGCCATGAGTGACTTGAATGAAGTTGTAGCAAGATATAACAAAAACATCAATTATTATTTGAAACTGGATTAAATTATTTAAGATATTGTCGGTAATGGATTAGGTTACTTCATTTTTAAGGATGAGGAATTATTTGTTATTCTTTAGTATGTTTCTTAGTCTTACTTTTTATTCATTATTTTCTTGAGTGCTGATAGTGTCTTAAAACCTTATTAAAATTTGTGTGGGGGGAGTGACAAATAAAGCATACGCTTCTTGTGTATCAAAGGACCAAATACATAATTAAATCAAATATTGTTCATGTACTGCAAGTTCATAATTATCATAATTATCACTAAACACGTGTTCTCTGAAATTCCTTTTCCCATCTTTTTGGTTGATGGTAAAGTGTTAAAATGATTATCATTTAGCAAATTCACACACTAACATACTATACTTTTTTGCTTATTACTTGGAAAATATATTAATATAACTTGAGGTTTTAGCACCATTGGCATTTTTCTCACTGAAAGCTATATAGTTTTAATACTGGCTTGTCTTACTTGCTTAAGAATATAAACCTAGATGTATGCATATACAGATTGCCAAAATGAGTTGTATTAAAGATAAGGCTTAATTTGTATTTTTACTCTTATGTATTGTACAAAATATTCAGTTAAGATTTGATAGCTTATATTCACTATTCAGAAATTATCAGATATATTGTGTTTTTATGAAAAGAGGTATATTTGAGTTTAATATTATTTACTATTTTACAAATGTGGCTTCTGCAGTTTAATTTTTCTCATTTTAAATAGTATAATGCTAAAAATTGGGTTTCGACACCCATGTTGGCCAAAGCACAAATAGCCCATTGTGTAGCTTTGTGCTAAAAGACAAACAAAAAGATAAACTGTTTTATGTGTTATAGTTGCTACTTGTTGTAAGTGTAATAATCAGCTTAATTTCTTCACAAAAGAAATAGAGATTTTATTGACAAAACTATGATATAATTTTCCCAAAAGGGCTGAAGGCCACCTGGAAGGGCCACCTGTTTTAATCACTTGCACCACTATACAATAGTCTGTCATCAGTCAGTAGACACTAAAATGACGTAATGTAAGGGACATTTAATCTTGCACTTTGTACTGTTGTGACATCAGTAAAACATGCACATGCCACGAATCATAAGAATTATGCACTCTGTAGGCTACAACACAGCATGACACATGAATTTCAAAAACAAGAAATAAAAATATTTGTTACAATTAATTTTGTTTTTATTTACTCTTGAAACAGAGCACGTTCAGTGACCCTGCGGAAGTACATCTAGTTTAAAAAATGGTTCCAAAACACACTTACCTCTGCTGACACAATATCTATTTCTAGATCTCCATGGTATCCACTCTTTGCCCATCTAAGCATTGGAAATGCTTGCTCCAATCTTTTATACCCCCAGTCGAATATCCTTGGCAAATTTTAGTTTGCAGATTTCTCCACCAACTTCAATGGACCCTCTATCTAGGTACTGTATATAAGCACCTCATTCAGTTAATGTAATTACTTTTTTTTGACAAAGCATTTGGCATGGGTTTCTATAAACAGGAGTGTTGTGATTATTCACAATTTACATTGCAACTTTGAACGTGGTTTGCATTATTACGGTTATATCTTCATATACTTATAAATTACTTTAATAATAATAATAAACAAAAACTCTCATTCCAATGGGTATGAATTCTGGAGTTAATGTTTCTCTTACAGAGGCCATTCAGACCTCTTCTCTTCTACCTCTATTATCTGGTATTTGTCAATGACCAGGTGAGGGGTCACTCTCAGTTGAGGCTGTCTGTGATATGATCTGTTGCAAGGTGGACACACATATATGCAGACTAGGGGTGTCTCTCCAGGGGGTTGTGAGATGGGTTTTACAAATGATACTGACCAGCTGGTAAAGAATTTAGACTTGTTTTTCTGGCTCCTTCTTTTACTAGGTCGGCGTCAATGGAGGATGATTTTGATCAGCCACCTCCAGTGCCTTTTCTTCAGTTGGTTACTGGAGTTTGTGAGTCTCTTCTATTGCAATTGACTCTACCTCTTCCTTATTGGCAGCAAGGATGGTAAGTGACTACATGGGTTTTTCCTCCTCCTCCTCCTGATATTGCTGTTCATGCTGTTAGAATTTTTGCTCAGTTATGTGATGGGATAGCTATGCCTTGTTCTCCACATTTATTGGAACAGCATGCTTTGGCTTATCACTGCCAGGAGGAGGTATATTTCGATTCTCAACAAATATACTCCCTTTTTGGACCAGTGGGGGTCTCAATTGGAACCTGTTATAACTTTAAACAAATCACAGTTTTTTGGATTCGTGTTACTCTCAGGACTGTCCTGAGGTATTTATCTTTGATCCAATTTTTGTTGGAAGCCTATTAGTGTTTCCCTCGGCAATTTGAGGATGATTTGGGGATTTTTGCTAACGTCTACCTCAGTCAGATTGTCTTCTTCAGTCTTTCTCTGGTTTCCTGGCTGGTTTGTTGTTGGGATTTATTGGGTAGATATTTTTTGTTAAAAAGTGTTATTGTAACTTCTTGTGCCCTTGGGGAGTTATGGGAAGCTCCTTTTCTCTGTCCCATGTTGTTTGTTGGAGTTCCAGAGGTGTTAGAATCAAGAAACTATCACATCAAGACACTGTTTCATGGATTACGCCCTTTGTGGATGAACCTTTAACTACTTGCCTTCATCAAGTGATTAGATGATCTGGTTTGAATATCAAAATCATACAAAACCTGGTAGAAAACTGAAGGATATACTCACTAGTTCAGCCTTTAATACATGTAAATCCAAAAAATGTTTTGCAAAGATGCATGGCTTAGATAAGTCCTGCACACTTAAAAAACACTGTTTATGAACTTACATGTACACAGTGTTTGGCCACATATATAGATGAATCCATTCGTCCAATTCATGATCGTTTCAAAGAACACATTCGTGCCACTGGAAATCTTGACAACAAAGAGCTACTGCTGGACATTATTTAAAAGAACACTGCACAATCAGTGGCACACAATATGCAGTCAAAATTTTAGAAACTTTTGACAATTTCCTCGACAGAAAATATAAGGAATCACTTTTGATTCAATCCAGATGCCCTTCCATTATAGGTACAATAACCTACAATTGCATTTTGCTCCAGGGCTATAGATGACCAAGTTTGATGTTACTGACGCTTATCTCGATATTCCCATAGCAGGTTTCTCAGATTTATGCACAAGGGTCAGGTTCTGCAGTTCATGGCTCTACCTTTTGGTCTTGCATCAGCACCTTATGTCTTCTGCAGAGTTGTTTGAGCTCTTTCTCGTCATGTACATTCCTTGGACCTGTAAGAACATCATTGTATGGACAACATAGCAGAACAACATTTTTCAGATTCCTTTTAGAAGCCATAAAAGCGGGTTTCCTTATCAGACTGGAAAATTCTATTCTGTCACTAATACAATATCTCGTCCATCTGGGTGTGTTTTTCAATACTCTTAAGTCGTGTTCAATCAACTGCTATCAGGCTTCAAGTCATGTAAAGAGCTGTCAGGCTTTTACTTGTCTCCTTCTCCTACTACAGATAGTTTTCCCTCTATTGGGGGTGTGGGCATTTTTCAAGCCTCTCATTCCTTTGGGACGAGCTCATATGAGGTCCTTTCAGTGATTGCTGCACGATCAATGAATCATTACTCAGAAGCAACATCACTGATTGCGAACTGTGGTTGGTTTGGAACAACACTACTATTGGGGTACTCATTCCACCATCTCGTCCCGAGATCCATCTGTTCACAGATGCATCTCTTCAGGGATGGGGAACTTATTTTCAAGGTCAGGAGTTCCAGGGTATTTTAATGGAAGTCATGTCTACCCTCCATATCGACGTTCTCAAACTCCTTGCAATACACTGGGCAATGGTTCAGGGACTGTCTCTTTTTCTGTTGCACTCAAACAATGAGTCAAAGAGGCACATATTCTTGAGACCTTGTTTTTGTACCTTGGATCTTCTCTGCTGGGCTCATTCCTATCGTATCAGTCTAATAGCATGTCATGTTCCAGGAGTGATGAATTTATTTGCAGATCACTTGTCTCGTTCCAACCAGATTCTTCCGACAGAATGGATGATACATCAAGAGGTTTTTCAGTGGACTTGCTCTCAGTTTTGGTCTCCAATACCTCACCCCCAAGTAGAGGACAGTAGATGTGTTCAGTCAGGACTGGACAGGTTTACATCTGTATGCCTTTCCCCAATTCGGCTATGGTCCTGGTTTCTGATTATAAATCGCTCCACTCCTTATTGAGTTATCTTTGTTGCACTATATTAATTAGTTCAAACATGGTTTCTGCTTCTTTGGTATCTGCAGGTATGTCCTCCTCTACCTCAACCACATCAGACATTCTCCACCTAGGAAGTTATGTGGTCCTTTGCCCAACATAAGGGTTTAACTTCTACAGTTTCTCTGTATTCAACTAAATCTCTTCATAGGCCAACCACAGCTGTTTATCAATAGAAATGGAATACTTATTTTTAGTAGTATTTTAAAAGGAATTTCAACTCTTTACACCTTAAAGTATCTACCATTTCCTGTTTTATGACTTGGGTTTTGAGAGGGGTCTTGCTTTGCTTACAGTTGCTTTATATACTATATCCTTATCCACTATTTTGAGGTATTCCAAACATCGGAAGGTTTTTTGAATCCTCAGTACTATCAAGTCTACTCAAAAATCCTTTGTATTCTTTGACCCAAATGACCTTTTCAATTACCAAATTGAGATTTTACAGTTGTTTTACATGGTTTGTCTTATCCTCCTTTTGAGTCCTTAGTTTCATATTCTTTATTTCACTTTTCTCCGAAATTGTATTTTTGGTTGTTATTGGTTTGTGGATGTTGTCAGTTGGAGTTTGCAATTCCTGTGCCTCAGACTCTTGATCATTCCACATTTGTTCTGCTTTAACCCAATAGGTCCTTTCTGTCCAAGACCCTGACAGCTAGAGAAGGGGAATGATCCTTATCACCAATTCATTTGCCAACCATTTCTCAACTTTATGACTGCTCTAATCCTGACTGTTTGTTATGTCATGTTAGGGCCCTCAAGGTAGTAGGAATTATTTGTTCCTTCATTGGAATTCTTCTTTTTCCTGTTACTTATCTCCAATTACCCTAACGAGGTGGCTTCATAAATTGATTCACATAGCCTATAATGGATTATTGTAACAGGAGAGGAATCTTTTGCATGTCACATCTCACTACATCTCAATAGCCGTCCGGTTGAATTGTCCTCTGGAAGATGTTGTTTGGTCTGGTATGTGGATTACTCCTAATACTTTCCAATCTCATTCCTTACATAATCTGGCAGTTTCCTTCTCTGAGGGTTGTTGGCTGACCCCTGTAGCTATTTTGACTACATTTGTTAAATTTTTACCAGACATATTTTCCTCAATCATATACTTTTTTCTCTTCCAGAATCCTTCTATTTTTTCACTGGATCTCACTCTGTGACGAGTGTTGCCCAGCCAGGTATGTTTTGTCTTTTCAATTCTGCACTAGTAACCACTTTCCCTATAATTACTACAGGTTGCAACAGGCTCTGTCGAAATGGGGTGTTCCATAAGACCATCTAGGTGCCTACCAGATGGTATTACCTTATTAGTATGGGCTGCCACTCATGGACTATCATGAGTAAAGCTAAACGGGATCCTGACGATCTTCAGGTTGAATAAATTGGGGTCGGTTTGCTTTTGAAAATGTACGGAACTTCACCTGTTTCCAGTTGCTGGGGTGGCAGACAGAGGCTTTTTCTCCAGAGTGTTCGAGTGTGTTCCTCCACTCTTGGAGAAGAGGGCAAAGTTGGGGGCCCTCCTACATGCATTGAAATCTATTGAAAATAGATAGGGAAAAAAAGCAAATATTGCAGTTAGTTAATTAGATAAGAGCATTAAGAATTTTTTTTTAATTATATTTTTACTTACCTCTGATTTTTGAATATGAAATGGACAAATTAAGAGGAATGTGTTTATATGACTCTTATCACAAATTATTAGTTTCTCATTACTTCACCAGCTTTTGACATTTAAGCTCAACTTTTAAATTAAAATTTATTGTTAGTTTTAAACATTATTCCAGTTGCAATGCAATTTTAAAAATTCTAATTATTGAAAATTTTATATATTTTTTGTACTGGAATAAGTTACTATGCAAAATTATCTTATGAATTAGGTTCTTGAGAGTCTTGTGGACATTTCTGAAGGAGACCTAAGAAAAGCCATCACATTTTTGCAAAGTGCACACAGGTTAAAAGGTGACTTGGGTATAAACTTGGATGACATCCTAGAAATTGGTGGGGTAAGTTTTTAAGTTCTTTCTTCATTAAAGGGTTAATATAAAGCAGGTATTTAGTTTGAAAGCTTATTGTTGAGAGGAGTAAAGTTGATGTGCATCTTCTGAAGTGGTGTATTCTTTTCTTAAATGAAATGGAAAATGAACTGACATGAATTTGAAGTGACTTAGCAGTTTGAGCTGTATCCTCAGAACTAAAACTAAATCAATTTCCTTTTCTTTCAAAAGCCTAATGATGAAATGGTTTTGTTTTTCAGACTGTGACATTCACTAAAGATTTGAGGCTTTGTCAGAGAAAAATTATTTTCCTTATCAGAATTTAAATAAGAAACATATCTTATGCAGTTTTATACATGTCTGTGGTGACATTTTACAAAGTCAGTACAAAACTGCCACTATTGTTTGTAAATGGGTTATTGAATTAAAAAAAAAAGGTAAAATATTTTTTTATTGACGAATAATAGAATAGGCATATAATGTATGTGATTGTCCATTAGCATTACATGGTTAAAAACAATCTTTTTAAGCCTAAAAGAAAAGAGTGATTAAAAAATTGCTTAAACTGCAGTATTTTTAATTGTTATTTCAGATACCATGATGGAAATCTAAAAATATAATTTCAAGTCAATGTTTTATCTGTTACAACTATAAAGGGTTTTCTCTCAGTCCAATATCAGAACTCATCATTTGTGTTTTGACCTACAGCAGCCAGATGCCAATAAAAATTGCTATTTGTATGTGGTATTATGGATGTTTGTGTCTTTTTTGTCAGCAGTGCTTAATATCAGGGTGACAATGTACAGTAATTTCAAAACTTTTTACATTGTCTCTTTAGAGATAATATGAGCTAAACATAAAAGGAATAGTGACATATTTACTATTTTGTATGGGATGAAGAGTTACATTCAGATTTCTAAATAGGAACACACAACACTTCTTACATTAATAGAATGTATCCAGCCTTGTATTAACTATTCTAATTGTATAGTGCAATTAATGATCATGTAATTTTTGCTTACCTTTTAAGACCATTATGAAAGTTTGTTTTTTTCTCCTCAACAAAAATATACTCGTGTATATGATGTTTCATACAATTTGATCCTGTAGTTTGTGGTGTTATCCTGACATTACATTTTATCAAAGTTTTTCCAGTCATGTTCTTACAAAATATTTCATTTGGAAGCATGGGAACCTGTCAGAATTTAAAATATAATTTTTGCCAATTGTCAGAATTTAAAGACTTTCAGTTATATTTCTTAATAGTATAAATATATACTATGTTGGGCTTAGGATTATTCTACAGTAGATGTCTGTGACTTGTTAACGATAAGTTCAACGATGAATAAACAGCATGCACTTCACTTGTTTTCAAAATAATATATATATTCAGAACAAGTTAATGTGTGTAAATTAATTCTTCAACACTATAAATATTATGGGCATATCATAAGTACTATATATGTAGTTCTCTTCTTCTTGTCAAATATCCACTTAGGCCTATTCAATTACTTTAGAATTTCAGTTGACATGCCGAACTATTTTCTCTATTCTATTGCACTAGTACTCTTTGTGATTCACTTACAATTGTGGTGCAAAATTACTGTATTTAAAATGGATTGGCTTAACAAGGGGTGTCAAAATCCGATTTCCAAAATAGCAAATGAAAGAACTATTGAAATTTACCTTGTGCCATGTTTTTCTGTAATTTTCAGGTAGTACCATCCAAATGGTTGGATAAGCTCTTTGACATTTGTAAGTCTGATTCATATGAGAAACTGGAAACATTTGTTACTGTAAGTTGCTGTTCTATACTTTGATGTTTGGATACACCATTTATAGTTTTATTTGACTATTAAATTACTTGGGATCTTTCAGGTTGCTGGTTATAAAAAAATTTCAAATTAGTGACATTATGCTATAAACTATAACAACTAAATTGTAAAACAAACTGCAGTTTTAATTTTCAGTGAACGAAATAAAAAAAAATTATATTCATTAGAGAACTGTATCAGGATCACTTCTGTATCATGATGCCTAGTACATTTACATTTATGTAAAGAGTATTAAAACTTTATAAGCATCTCCATTTTTTTGTCCTTTATGTTATTTAAAATGTACAAGTTTAAGTTGTTGTAATAGGGAATGTATTATTTCTGTATCTTTTAACTGACATTTTGGTGTTTATGCTGGTTCTTTTCATTAATAAAAAAAAAGTACAAAATTGGTAGAGTTTGGCATTGAAAATTCCATTTTTGGTCAGAAAATATCCACTTAATAACAAAAAGTATATGAAATCCATATTTTAGTAGACTGTAAATTCCAATATAAAGATCTGTGCTTTAGTCCAAAATTTTTTCTAGAGCAGTGACTCACAAACTGTACCACTGGTGGTATGTATAAAAATTATAAAGTTTATAATAAGCCCAATTTAACCTTCCCATGTACATAAACACATTATGCTCCTCGCTTCTAGACTTTCCAGTGTTACCTTCCTTTCAAATTGACTCGCATTCTTTAATTATGCTAGAAATAACAATCGTATTCTTCCCATTAATGGATAAGTGTTAAAAATATTAATTTTTGCTACTAGATTTTTCATTTTTTTAAAATGAGGCTTCGGTTTTTACTTCAAAAAGAAGTTTAAACAAAAAGTTGTATGTGAGACTGAAAAGCTCAAGAACAACTGTTCTAGATGAAGGTTTGTTGCTGCTATAAAGGGATCTTTTAAAATCTTTAGATATTATATCAAAAATATAATCATTGCTAATTGAGGTAGTTTGGAATAGTAAGTTTTTTGTTACTATTTGGTTCAGTCTCAGCATAAATACATTTTATTTTACCAGCCTTGTGACCAGATATTTTTGCAATTCTTTTGGTCTTGTTTGTTTCATTCAAAAAGACAAAAGATATATGAGAACATGTATTGCTATATAGTTACCTAACAGTTTCTGTTGAACAGTTAATTTTATAATTAAAAAATATTACATCACACAGAGAAGAAAAATGCATATGACTTATAATAACTGGTTCTATTGTTTTGTGACTGTCAAAGCTTATGAACATTTGAACTTATAATGGTGAACAGAAAAAATTGAGCTCCCTTAATTTTATATTGCAAAATATTTAGTGAGGTGTTTTTTATTTCATTTTGAAGGATATGGTGGCTGAAGGTTTCTCAGCTGGTCAACTGATGGGTCAGTTGCATGATAAGATTGTATTTACAGAAGAATTGAATGATAAACAGAAATCAGTTATTTGCAACAGACTGGCAGTAAGTATTCGAGGGATGTAAAGATCTTTAATAAATGAATTGTGAGACAAGACACCACATATATATATTAACTAGGAAGAAAATCTATTTGCCATAAAGTTTTAGCATATGCATTTGCTTATAAATTTTTGTAATTCCAAATGTGATCTTTTATAATATATTAGTGTAAATTTTCAAATTCTACATTATTCTTAATTCTATAGTTACTGCTATTGTATCTTACTTAAAATCTTCCATGTGTAGAATCTTTGTTTTTTTCACTGTACAAAATTTTAAGTTGCAAAGCTGCATTTAATCTTTTAATAATTGAAGTTATCTTAAAAAAAAGGCTTTATATTTTTTTCAATATTATGTATGTAACTTATAAGAAATATTAATAAGAATTAATTTAAATTTAAAAAATTTATTACAGAAAAATATAAAACTTACAACTTACATTATAATTGTATGGAATTGTGTAACTAAAAAAATCCATTACTTTTGTATTAAAATAAAATAAAGATTAAGTAATTCTAATGATTGGTTTGCTGTGAACTAGTGTTTCATTTTTACTTTTCTTGCATCTTTTAAACACACTTTCAGTACACAGCTATCATATCATTATTTTTGTGATTTCATATACTAACTGTACTTTAAGGCTAATTTTACACACTTTGTTAGTGAACTGTCCAATTGAAGCATTTAAACCTTTTAATCATTGTTGCTGATTACTTAAGGAAAGTGTGTTGTACTATGGTAATTACATTTTGATGTATATTATAATTGTTTGAGAAATCTGAATTTCAGAATTACTTTGACACGTTTAATTGTATTGTAATTGATGGTCTTAAAGAAATTCTGTTTATTTTCTCAATCAAGTGAAACATATAATTATATGGCTACTAAAGGACTACTCAAATAGATGCCTTTGTAAATAAAGAAATTGTTACAATACTACCAAGATAAAGCTTGTAAACTTGAGGTAAAGAAGAAAAGTGTTTAATGAATTTTATCTTTACTAATTGCAGAAAATAATTTTATCGTAGGTTTGTGATCATCGCCTCATGGATGGAGCTGATGAATTTTTACAGATAATGGATATGATGACAGTAATCATGCATCAACTCTGTCATGCCTCAAGTTGATATACATGGCCATAACAGTAGCATAGTTGAATCAATAATGATATACTGTTAAGTTTAAAGCCTATTTTTTGTCATTATATTACTAGATGAATAATCGAAAAAGTGTTTCCTTCTTCACAGAAAGTTTAATAAATTTCAACAGTTTCTACTTTGAAGTAACATATACGATTTCTGAAGTAATTGTATATAATTTGTTTAAATAAATCTTTTTTCTTTTGCAAATTTCTCTTTGATTATATCAGTGTTGGTTTAGTAGATTTTGATAGTAATCCAGGTTTATTTTTTTTCTTCAGTGCTTGTTTTGTTAAAAATGTTCTAACTTTTAAACAGTTTTTAAAAGTTTATTTTGTGTTTGGGAAAATACATACATTATGCAAGTTTTAAAATCATACTTTATTTTTATCTTATTTTGGAATCCATGGTGTTTCAATGATAAGCTTCAGGGCTCATAATGGGAGAATTTTGGTTTCAATTCCTGTGGATGACAGTCCATTGTGCAGCTATGTTATATATATGTGTGCTAGTCTTTTCCAAATTTTTGATACAGGTATGGTAATATTTTGGATATATGGGATAGTGCAAGTAAACAAACTCAAAAGATACTCCACAAAACAAAAGAAGCCTAATCACTTGCACTGTCCCATATATAGAAAATATTAGTACACCTCTATCAGAAATTTGGAAAAGACTAGCACATAAATATAACTTTAACATAAAGACTAGATTCATTTTCACTCCTGGAATGAAAATTAAACACATTAAGAAAATTATATAATGAACCCATCCCAACAGGAAACATTTTCAAAATAAAGATTAAAAACTGCCCAGCCTTTTACGTAAGTGAAACAGGACATAATTGAACGTCAGGTTAAAAGAACACCAAAAATCCCTTTTCTATATCAACAAAAACAACCAGAGTTTTTCCAAATTGTGTCAACATACTAAACCAATATGAACCTGATATTAACAGAAGAAAAATCACTGAAGCCCTAGTAATAAAATCAAACAGTCTTATAATGAATAAATACGAAGGCACCTCCCTATATGTTTGATCGTTATTCCCCATACATTCCTAATGTTATGCAAATATTTTGTACATTTTCACATTTATTCACTTTTTGTTGTTCTTTCTGTTCAGCCATAAATAAATAAATAATCTAGATAATCACATGTATTGATGTGCATATGCATAAGTAATCACTATCAATTCTAAAATTTAAATACATGTTAGATTGTTGATGTAAATACTAAACCTTACTTACTTGAGAATGATCACACCAGTGATTGAAATGTTGTACCTGTTTTGAAAATACTCTTCCTTAATGTAAAAGCTGTAACTTGCAATAAAATAATATTTATAATCAGTAAGTAAATTTAAAGTAAAACTATTAATAGTAATTTTGAGTTTAACAATTTTACCTCTTAACCACTATTTCATTTTGTTTTAAGTATATGTTGAAATTGTTCAAGTAAATTCTGTTATTTAGTTATCCTGAGGTTGGATCTAATAGAGCAATGTTGCTGTTTGATAGAGAGAATTATTTTAAAACTGAAGGAGGAAATGTATGTACTAATTATCAACACAAAGAACTTAAGACCATGAGTTTCACCAATGCTTCTGTTCTAAATTATCTTGCATCATTTTAATCAAGCTGACATCTGAATTTTGTAAATCAATAAAACAAAACTGGATTTTAAACATTAGGCTACTTTAAATGTAGAAATACTTGTACTAGGTTAGTAGTAATTATTGTAGTAAACCTTATTATAATTGAGTTGCATGGTGTAAATCTTTGTGTAAATGGGTTATGTTAGATGTTAAAGCCACATAGTTTTTGCCAGAAACTTCTAAAATTTACTGGTTTTTACTGGTATAGGAAGGATTATTTATGAACAAACTTTTTTAAGTCATTTCTCTTTGATAAAAAACAAAAACTTTAACAGTTACCATAAAAATAAACTGTTAATTCTGAAGAGCCACTTGAAATTATGAAAGATAAATTGGTGGAAACAGTTGGAATGAAGGCTGGTAATATTAAAGTTTACAGTATGCAGTTTATTTCCTGTCACACAGCCTAGTATCAAAAGTTTAATAAAGTTATGAAATCATCAAGATTATTATAAAGCCATATTTTTTAACTATTTTGATGCCATCTCCTCAAAAGAAAACTGTATTTGAAATGAAGTTAATTGAGGGAAAAATTTTAAGTCTACAGATAATTTCTTATGAAATTTCTAGAGGCAAATTGTGTAGAATTGATCAAGGAGTGATTATAAATAAAACTCCATATTTGAAATATCTTTACTATTTAACTTAATGTCGGGAATTAGTTCACATATTAAAGATCAGTGATTGCTTATCAGTTAACTGGTTATTGATAGTACATTTTTCAATATCTTGATAGCAAACATTGCAAATTGGTTTTGTTTGGTATGTTTTTATTATCACTATATATGCGGAAAAATTCATGGCTTAAACTTTATGCACAAATATCTTATGAAAATCATATCCTAGTTTTGTTTCATACAGACTGAATTCTATGAATTATTTGAAGCCTCTAATTATCTAATAAATGTTGGTTGGCTTTGGTGACTTTTAACCAATAGAAATATTCATTTTAATTATTTGATTTATGACAGTTACTACACAAACCTCCAGTATTCTTGCAACTAGGTTGAGAAACAAGACTATATAAAATAAAAAAATATCCGATGATCAGTTTCAACTAAATTTTGGAGCATTACACTATAATAAAACTGGTAATTATAACCACTATTAGAATATGCAAAATGTTTTATGTTAAGGCTTAGAATGTAATCCAACAAACAAAAATATACTGATAAATAGGAGAAGCTTTTATGATACCAGTTTCTTGAAACAGAATATAGTTATACTTTGTTATATATTTCTATTCAATACTTCAAGTGAAATGAAACTTTCAAACAGGAGTTTGTGTAAATGAATATTTATTTTAAACATGAAAACCCGTAACAAAAAAAAACAATAAGAATGTATACATATAATTCATACATTTTGTTAGATTTACTAAAGCATTTTTAGCAATGTTTTATTGAAAATATTTAATACTGAAAATAACTCTTAAAGCATAAACAAAAATTGGTAAATTATATTTTTAAATTCCATCAAAAACAAAGTCCTCATAGGTCTTTGAATAAACTAAAAAATCACAATTCACTATAATTTTTTTAAAACAAATATACTGAAGGGAAAGTTGTTTGTTCAATGTATGTAAATACAAAAACATATCACAAGCTGCTCTAAAAATAACACTCGAGGCTACTAAAGCCTGTAGAAAGATTTCTAATAACCTAAACCAGTAAGTTTTAATAAATGTTACACACTGTTTCCTAACAATATAGCCACCATACAATTTCAATAATCCATCTAATGTTGAAAACATACCATGACTATTCTCGATTTATTACAGTAGGCAAAAAGGGAAAAAAAGATAGCATCTTATGACTGACTGAGAAAAAACAATTACATTTGGTTGTTAAAATTGGCACTTTACTGGTAGAAGTTGCACTACAAATTTAGTCAATCCTATATAAATTTACTAGCTGCATATTTGACTTTTAGGTAGTAGTGAATCAACTTTAAACAAGTGAAAGGTCTTTGTATAGAATGTTCATACTGCTATTCAAGAGGCCATAGAAACGTTAACTAATATGTTTTATACCTTAAATGTATAAACTAACTTGTATTTATTAAATTACATGAGTGTTTCATAGATGCCTAACCACTGATTATACATTGTACCTTATTTATTTGCATTGGGTATTAGACAAGAGTTTTATTCACTTATTAACATGTTACTACTAATTACTTTCTACATACCAAATATTTCAAAGGAGGAAGACAATGAAGATAATAGATTATATATATATATATATTCTCCCCCCCCTTTAAAATTGTATAGTAACAATAATACAACTAGTCTTATGGTACGTAGTTAATGTATTTTTGTTTACAAATATTTCAAATGAAACACTGAAATCTGTACAACATATTTATATTTCAAAACCAAACAAACTATGGATTTTAGAGGGATAAGTCTCTATAGCTTAAAATTTCAGAATAAAGTTTTATTACGAATTACTAACTGCTAAGGTGTTTTGCAATATTTATTAGGAATAAACAGCTCTAATAGATAAAAATGGTTCATTATCTTTCATAGCAATAGGGAATAGTTCAAGTTGTAACCATCAGGTATTTAAAAACCATGAAATTATTTGATCATTTTTTAGTAAAGCACTATTTCTCACAAATGGTTTCAATGGAAGACCAATGTTGTTAAAGAAAATGACTCCTGTGTAGTGAAGGATTCTGTTTATCATCAGATATACTATTTTTTTTTTAGTATTCTAGAATCAATTAACATGATGAAATGAACATTTTGAAGCATGATTACTACATCTCATATTTTAAATCAGTAGATTTTCAAAATACAAAACTTAAATTTGAACTATAAATAAAATGTAAATAAAATATTAATTCAGAAGTAATATCATCTACTGCGAGTAATCAAATTTTGTACAATAACAGAAAATGACTATTATTAAGAGATAATGTATATTCAATAAAGTATATTCCATAACTTATTTTTTTTTTTATGAAATAGTAATGTTTATAAGTATACGCTTAAACAATGTCCACATAGGCTGGCCTTCATGTTGAAGGTACTCTAGATTTAATTGTTTTCATAACTTATCAAGTTCTATTAATCTTCTAGAACCTAAATAAATATTTTTATCCTGAAAACTGAGGATAGAAAATTTTTTAAATTTCTTAGGTTACTAATTTTTAAAGGTTAAGGCTTATTCATGTTACAGCATGCATAAATTCTATATTCTATTGCTTAGCTTGAACACTTTTTTGTTAATAATGCTCTCTAAATTTAGACAGAAAGAGGACTGTATAGTTTGAAAATGAAATATAAATAAGCTCATACCATGATCACTTCGTAACAAAATCTGCACAAAACAAAATGGCCTTTTTTAAAGAAAAGTTAACCCTTACAAGCTACACTTATTGTTATGATTATAACATTTTTTAAGCATTCAATTTTTGTGTGGTTATGTGTACCATGGTGTCTGAAATTAATGGTTCTTTAAGGGCACATACAAAGCTTATAGTAGGCAAAAAAACTGCAGATTAAATGTATATATGTTTTAACACACATACTAAAAAGCACATACAAATACTTTGATACATATATATATATATATATATATATATAT